ACCATTCTGTGATTCTATGATGTAGCACTGACTGTTTGATGCTGTCCCACCCTTTCTCCCACACCACGGGCAGCCCACAGAAGTCTGAGATGCAGCAAAAGCTGCAAAACGACGTGACAGCCACAGCCTTGTGTCTTCTTCAAAAAGTGAGCCTCAACGACAGAGCGAGCTGTGGGGTGCAACGCTCACCACAACCGGTTCCCAGAGAGCACTCTCACGCCGATTGCCACAAAACCCTCTACCGTACAACTTTCAGAGGCTCGCAGGGGAGACCGCACTGCACAGCTCTTGCTGTGCCACGATGACCCCTCGATGTGCAATAACAGTACTCACACAAAGCTAAAGGGACTGTTTGTAATGAGGAAGAGCTTCTTCTTGTGGTTCACCAGTCGGTTTAGCACAGCATAGATTTCATCCCCATGCAGAATATACTGTTCTGTACCAGAATAAAACAGACATCGTCAATCAAATAACTTTGGTGTAAGCCATGACCACATTTCTTTAAAACCAAAATCAAACCTAGCCCCTACATCAACAGGGATGCAAAAGGCCTGAGTTAGATCCACCTCAGGCTGGGAGGTAGCGAACCACCACAGTGACAAAATGGTCTTCCTCATCGATCCCATCTAGAGGGAAAAGACTGAGGAACTGAAAGGTTGCCAAAAAAGAGGGTTGATACCAACCCGTCACAAGGGACAGGCACAGCCACTCCAGGCCATGTTGCTACCAGGAGCTTTCCCTGGAATGACCAGGATGCTTTCCCAGAGGGTTCCTTCGCATGTTCACGTCATGCCAAGGACTGTCACCCCTCGCCTAACGGCTGAAGGAAAACAGAAACACAAGCCACAAGGCAGCCATCTCCTCCATTAAAACAGATCCTGCACTTGACCCTAAATACCACTTGGTTCTTAATGCCAGTCTCCCTCTCCCCTGCCTTTAGGCAGGCCACAGTCGAGTATTTCATTAATTTCTGTGTCCCTGCAACTGTGTGTAGGGCCTACACAGTCATCTTACACAGACCTCCACGTAGTACGAGACACATCAAAAAGGATCTGGCACCAGAGCTCGACTCAACTCACCCAGGTCTTTTTCAATCCATTTGTACATCACTCCTTTCACATGTACGTCTCTAATAGCATCCTAAACAAAAGGGGAGGGGAAAAAAAAAATCAGTTTTCTGTATGGCATTACTGTTTCCCATCATTCAAACCTACTGCCACCACTGAGGACCAGCACAGTAATGACACATCCCCTCTTCTTGCTGAATGAACAAAAGCTACACTAACAGTAAGTAGAGGACCTTGTACAGTGAGGCTCACCAACATGCCAAAAAGAACACCACAGTGGCTAGCTCAGCTGATGCAGTACAGGGGGAAAACCCTCAAAACCTATCCATGAAAGCACAGTTTCTTCCCTGCTCCTGGAAATCAGCACGTTAACACACTGTTACCAAGGCAGTCAACTTGTGCAACTCCAAAACCGTTTACTGCCCCAAAACCGTACTGGCCCAGCCACTAGCTGGCTTTTCACCCTCCCTAAGCCTGTGGAAGCTCTGCCAAATGTAACCCAAAGGATGGGAGCATGGCCAAGGCGAACAGCCGCAGCGGGAAGCATCTACGATTCCAAAATGCTCCCCACAAACTAAGGAGGGCTACAGCTCCCAGCCCTGGGTGGCGGGTGGGCAAAGGCAGGGCAGAAGCTTCCATTAGGAGGGTGAGGGGTTTTTGCAAAACAGAACTGCCCACTTTTCAGGAGGGAGGGAGATTAAAACAGATACTGTCAAGGGCATCCAAATATCCTCTGTTTTCCAGGCCAGAGGCCAAGAGGCAATGCATTTTTGGACACACCCAACTGAGATTCTCTTCCCAAGTTTCCATCCAATGAGGTATGCCAGATCCACAGAACCACTTCCACAGCAGCAACACATTTTGCAGCGTTTGCACATGCAAATGCTTATTTTAATGGTACCATTTTCATCCCTGACAATTTAGAAGGGTAAACAAACGCTGCCTTTCCCCAGGGCTCTTAAACCCTTGTTACACTGCGTGCGCTCCTTCACGAGTTGCCCTTTCAGACTGGATTCCCACGCTTGCCACGGCCATTGCCACGGTGACACAGCATCGCGCAGTCCCCTGCTCTCAGGGCAGTCAGTGCTGATGAAACCCGCTCATCACCCCAAAAATAATTTCCTTCAGAGCTGGGAGAGAATCAAAATTTACAACTTGGATGAGGCGGCACCTCTTCAAAACAGAGCTCTAGGAGTCTCTTGCCAGCATGTGGATTTGGATGGTAACAAAGCAGAGGTCACATCTCATTCACCCAGAGACTGACTTACTGGAAAACACCAACAAAAAGCAAGAGTGCTAACAAGAAAACAACTTTCTCTTGACCAGCACTGGTACTAAAAGCCAGCAGCGCTTTGGATTTGTGTCAGAACTACCTTTGCAGAGCAGAAAGAGTACTCCTTCCCTAAACCCCTGCCCCCAAAACAGCAAAAGAGGGGAAAAAAAAGAAAAGAAAGGGGAAGAATTATAAGGTTCCTGCAAGTAAAATCTTGGTAGCCCTGGGAGGTGTCAAACGGGGCTCAGAAACTCCTCCAAAGGGTAAGCTGTATGTTCTTACTCTCAAATACGAAGCAACCAAACTGATGTGATGGGACTGCTTGGTCTACATGTCAGCTCCAAACTTTACCTCTGCCTTAGGGTCTTCCCTTTTGACTCCGTGCAGCGTCTCTAGCACTCAAACTGCCCCCAAACGCACAGCGCTGCACTCAGGGCTGCCACTAAAAATTACAGAGGAGTGCCAGGTTTACACAGGTCCTAACCCACCGTGAGCCTGCGCTGTGGTGACAGCTGGGGCTACCGAGTCCCCTCGGACGCCCGTCTGTGTCGCACACATCTCTGCACCCACCTCCGCAAACCATTTCTTTGCACTTGCACTCGGGTACTGCAAAGGGATAAGTTATGCAAAAATGTTTGTTTATCCTCACTGTACAGGAAAAAAGCAAGAACTCTTCTGGTGAGAGCACAGGACAGACCCCAGCTTTTCAGCAGAGATTTCAGGCACTGGCACAGATTTTCTGCCATAGTTCTCTTCCCTGCCTACCTCAGTCACTCCTCAGGAATGACCACATCCCTCAGAGCAAAGGATACGATGACAAATCGGGAGTTGGAGGGCTGGAGCACACCGTTTGCCCTGTACTATGTATTGGGCTGTGGGAACCACCCACCTGCTCTCAAGGTTTCCATGAGGAACACGTCCATTTTGACCCCAAAAGAAGGGTCAGAAGACACTTTACAGAAGGCCTCAGGATTCAGCTGGATCCCCTCTTCCCATTTTCCCCGCCCGAGGAGCAAAACCAACCACAACAACTATCAGCCTAGAGACACGTGAAGGTCTTGTGGGGAACTGGCTTATCAAGCACCCGCAGGAGGTCAGAACAGAAGCGGTGACCCCTGGCTGCAGCAAAGCTGACAGGGTGGCTCGTTATCGCAGGAGCAGATGTGGAGCTCCATTTCCTTCACAAGAAGAACAGTGTGTGTATGGACTGCTACCAGTGGGTGAGTGTAAGATTCCCACAAAAAACCCTCTCCATGAAAAGACAAGGCATCTGACAAGGCTTGGCTACCAAGGAGGACGGATTGTGAACAGAAGTCACCCAGGGCTGCAACCTCAAGCACTTCCATGTTGCCTACAGCGTGAACGAAGAAATCAAACAGTAGCCCTAACACAGTGCTGGTGGTCCCTTTCAAATGCCAGGAGTGGAGCTAGAGGGCACAGTTAGCACCCTGCAGTAACTGGCTCTTGAAAGCTAGTCACCCACTGGAAAACATCCCAGAAGTTCAGACTGCTCTGCAGCTGCAAAGGGAAAGGGTGGATTCTCAGAGCAGGCAAGGGATGGTGTTTCACAGCAATCACTATATAAAGCAAACTGTGTGGTACATCAGACCAAGCCTCTTTGAAAAATGAGACATTAAGAAGAAAACATAGAGCTCAGAAGTCTGCAGAAACAGAAAACATTTACACGAGGTTGTGACTGACACGTTTCCCATGGAAGGGCCTCCAACCTAACCAGCCGAGGCACTCCTGCAAGAGACAACGTACAGCAACACCAGCTCTGTAGTACAGGCAGAAACGCAACATTTGCTGAAAACACAGCTTTGAATATCCCCTGGTAACGCTTTAATCTAAAGGGGCAACACCGCTGTCATATTAGGCTACTCACTACCAGCCCCTTCGGTTCGGGCACCGCAGAGCTCACCGCTGCTAACAAGCCACAGAGCTGACAGTTCAGCTGCCACACAGACTTACAGGGCAGCCGACAGTTTACTTACAGATATATCCTTGTAAAGATGCACCTGGTCAAACTCAATGCCATGAGTTATGAAGTAATCAATGACTGAAGAGAGCAGCGTCATTTCAGGAAGAGAAAAAATGTCCATAAACTGCTTAAGTGATGGACCCTAGAAAGTGAAAAATGAAGGAGACACATTAACCAATAAAAATCTGCGGGGAGAAAAAACAGCGAAGCCAACAAGCAAACCCTTATGACCAGTACCATCTGGAGAACATTCCAGACTCACAAAAAGAAAAGCACTAATGTTGAAGGCCCCAGCCACTCGGCAAGTAGCCCTCCCCTGTCAGCTGAAACGCTAGCGCTGACGCTTCTTCTTCACAGAAATCGTTAAACAAAGCCAGCACCATTAGCACTATGGGGTGGAGGTGGAGGAGGCAGGGTGTCAGTCCTAAATACTAACTTTTATTCAACTCCATGCCCTCTGCTTCCCACCTGGCCTCTTGTCATTACCCTGGGTGCCAGGAGAGAAGGCTGTGCTACAGAAGCAGTGCCCCATTGCTCACCAAAACCGGGCTGTGCATGGACACACGGGCACCCCAGCTGCTCTAAGCACATTCCAGCGAGGCTTCACACAGCAGTGCAAGAACCTCTCCAACAGGCAGAGCGTCAACGCCTGCCTCTCCCTGAGTCGCTACGGAAAACCCAGAGCAGGCACAAAGAAGTAGAATAAGAACTTCGGCCCACCCAGCAGTCGCGTGGAAGTGGACAGTTGAATCCTGCCCAAGGAACAGCTCACCTTGCACTAGGCGAGGCTGCGGCTCTCCCACAGGTTTACTGTTGTTGTTGCCGGTCAGTCACACACCCACCAGCAGGCCAACAGCCAACTCTGGCTCCAGAGAGGCCTCCCAGTCAAGCAAAGCTGGTTTATTCAGTAAGTACCCCCTGTGCAGAGGCTTGTGGTGAGTCGCGCTGGCAAGCTGACGCTGGAATCACTGCCTTCATCTGTCACCACTGAAGCGCCAGGTCAGCCAAGGGAACCGCTATAGGGTCTGGTACATGACCTTAGCGATCTGGGACGTACGCAGACCTCCCAATGAACCCAGTCCCCAGAGATGTCCTGGGAACCCAGGCGCATCCTGTAAAAGAGACCAGCACTCTGCAGCACTACTGAAAGGCACTGTTGGGACAACGCAGGTTGCGGTCAAGAAAGAAGACGCAAAAGGGCAAAGGAGTAACAAACAGCATTTTGCCTGAGGTCTGTTACCAAGAATCCTGTGATCAAAAGCTACGTTGGCGTGCTGAGGGTCAGACAATTTCTATCCATCCGGCCAGCACAGGACCACTTGACCTACAGCAGAACATCGAGAACACCCTCTGGTCTGGGCCACACAGGGTGCTGCTTAGCAATACTTGCTGAATCCTTTCAACAGACTTCTGTCCCTTTTGATGTGTGGTTGCTCAGGGAACATTTCTCCCACTAGCAAACCAAAGTTTCCTGAAAACATGCCCCACCTTTTTTCCTGTTCAGGGTTTCTGGGAAAGAAGCAAGAGGGACAGAGACAGGCAGTTCCTACTGAATCACTAGGTGTGGGATTTAGCAGAGCACTCCAGAGCAGTGACCTGGCCCACCAAAGCCTTCAGCATGGGGGAGACAGTTAACTGCTCAGTGTTAACAGCAGACTTACCTTGTAGGTAGTCAGCCCTGATTTTGCTTTTGCGCCTTGTGCCACCATCCTACAAGGCAAGTCCAGCCTCCTCCCTCAGCTGAAGCAGACATTGACACAAGGCAGGATGAAACTGGACCACAGTTTTAGAAAGAATGCTACATAGGCTTTTTCCCCTAAGTTTCCCACCTTCATAACAGGCCAGCACTAGCCCTGCCAGGGAAAGCCACACTAGTTGTGTTGTCTAACCCTGGGCAAGACCTGTCCCTTCCTACTGCAGGTGGTGGGATACCAGCAGCTGTCCACACTCTTGCCAGCAGAGGATCAAGAAATCCCTTAAGGGGGAATATTTACACACTTCACCTGCATCGGTCCTACCTGTCTTAAGCCTTGTTGCTTGGAATCACTGAGCTGGCAGACCTTCCTGTCACCCATACAGGTAGCAACCTCAGCATGGAAAACCAAGGAGGACAGGATCAAAGATCCCTGCTAAAGCTTCACTCCACCCCAACTGCACTGCACCAGCAGTCACCTTCACCCCGATGCTTCCCCACTAACGTGTGCAGAGGCTGACCAGACACTGCTGGATGCAAAGGCCATTAATTGCATATACTTCCATCCTCTTTGGGATCCCCCTATTGGTATTTTTTAATACTGCCTACAGGAAAGAAGAAAACAGCTGGTACATACAAAGCAGCACAGAACGGCACCTTGGCATGACCACGTGGTCCTACAAAAGGCCACAACTTGAAGCAGATTTCACATTTACATTTATTTAAAAAGAACGGTGAAATCATCTCAAGTTTGCCAGGGGCAAGGATAATTGCACAGCAGGAGGCTGATAGAGAGCAGTCTACACACAGATATCAAGTTCTAAACAGAAACATCCTATTTCAAAGCTGGAAACAACACTGAGCTATAAACAGAGTATATACTTACCCAGAAAGCAACCACTCAGATTAATTGTTCCCAAGAGAGAGAGAGAGAGAAATCAAGAAGTGACCTTGCTGGAGACTTCACACAGCAGACTCAAAGAGGTATTATCAGAGGAAGCCTGCCCTTCTACTTCCAGCTTCCCCTAAGGCAACTGAACTAACAAAGGGCAAGAAACAAAGCAGTTCTGGGGGGAAAGGGATGTGAATGGCCCTGTTTGCCCACTGCACCACACTAGACACTCCAGGAAGAAAAACCTCTCCTAACTTCCTCTACTTCAGGCAACCAAAGGATTTCTACAGCTCCTATGGACAGAATTTCAGTACTTTACTGTGACTGTAAGCTTTTCTGCCTAAAAAAATCCCCCAACACTCATGGCTGCCAACCCTGTGAATAATGTCCACTGAGCAGGTCCAAAGATGTGTGGCAGGGGATCCCCTTCATGAAGGAAAAAAACCTTACGCCAAAACAAAGAGAGAAAGGCATTGCAAGCACCCAGCTGCTGCACACACATACCCCCTCCCGCACAACTCACTGCAAACACCATCACTGCAGGCTGCCCTGGTAGCTTGGGAGCTAGAGCTGGCCAAGGAACAAGCAGGGAACATCTCCCTGTCTGTCTCCAGAGCCATTCAGCTCTAGGCCAATAGCCCTGGTGTTTAGGAATGCTTCACAGATGGCTTTCACATGCTAAACTGCTAAATAACCTCTGGGGCAAATTCCCACTAGAACAAAAACACACACTGCAGTTCACTAGGGACTGAGTCTTTGAGTCCGAGGGAGGCTGGAGTCATTTACATGCTCCTACAGTTCACTCTGTTTCCTAGCTGTTAGAAGGGCTGCTGGTCACAGCAATAAAAAGCTTACAATACCTTGCCATAGAAGTCACTCATCTGGTACAGGGGGATGTGCTGCGTCCCACCGTAGAGTTCGATTACCTCATCGTCAGGCACTGGTTTGAGCCCTCTAGACACAAAACCACAGAAATCATTTGTCAATAATCACCAGCCTGCACAGAGCCACAAACTGCAGAGAAAGAGAAGACACAGGCTCCTTTCTACAACTCGCAACTTCTCTTGCACAAAAGGCAGCCAGAGAGCCTGACAGCTCCACGGTTTCTTAAGATTCACATAAAACCTTCCCCCAGACATTCTTCAGATACCTTGTTTGCTCCTAGGAGTTAATTGAGGGGCTTTATCCACATTCCAGCAGAGAGTTCAGACAGAGGCTTCTCTCTGCATGCTGCCAATCTGCTGACAGGTCTGCCCCACCAAATCGGCCCCACCACCTGATTTTGGCAGCACTGGGGAACTAGGTTTGGAGAGGTGGCTTCCACGAGGTGTTTCACCATTACGTGCAAAGGTGTAGGAAAAGGGCTTTCGGAAAATGAGGTTTCCTTCCTGTTCAGTGTTCCTAAGCAAAACCAGTTAAGAGATCGCTGTTCTTCCCCAAAACACTGTAATCACGGGTATGGCTATGAACATCAGGTTATCTGACTGCTGCAGGTTTTGCCTCTTGCACAATTTCTGATGGCTGTTTGCTCAAGCAGCCAGCAACTTTCCCTTTCTCCTTTCCTATTTAGTCATGGTACAGCCTCTGAGAAGTTAAAAGGTGCCTCAGTTGTGCTCAAAAGCAAAGAACAGTTTAGGAAAAGGGCACTTCAAGAAGGATAGTCACACACAGGTATTAGGGGAAACAGTTTAAATACATTTTAGCTAAAAATCTCTTTATGAAGCTGAAGTGAAATATGAGGCAGTACCAACCCCTCATTCCCACCCCCCAAAAAGCTAGCACTCAAAGAAGCCAATTCTCTCTGGTTATGAAACTCCCTTCTTAATATTCTTAGCGTGTTTACTGTAATTGAAGCTTAACAGCAAAAGGGCAGAGTTCAAGAAAAAAAAACATTGGCTTCCACGCTCAGGAAACACAACACAGATTTACAGCAACTTTGCTGCCGGTATCTAGGAATAACTACTCCTTACACACCAAGCCCACTCCACACTGGGGCAAGGTTTTCTCCCAGTCTCCAGTCTCACAAGTTTTTGGAGAAAAGTTTGCTTTGCCCCGTTTCAGCCACTTATTCCAAAGCACACCCTGATCTCCTTGGATAACGTAAGGGAAGGAAAAATAGGACAACCTAGGCCTTAAATTGAGCCCAGATTCTGATGCATCATTACTTTACGGACATGCCTGCACTGCTTTAAGATTTTATTTGCACAGCCAGACCACTTGCCTCTTAGCTGAGTGACAAGGCAAGGCATACCGCTGCTGGGATACACTCCTGCCTGCAGAAGACAGGCCTCATGTGGACACATGATACAGAGGAGTCCTTCCCCAGTTGCACTGTTTGCTCACAGATGTTAACCCAGCTTTGCTGAACTCAGGCACCACGAAGAGTACGTGACCAGATGTGTCATTAACCATTACAAAAAGCCCCAGGTCTTCCCACCCACACTTGGCTTGAAACACTTGAGAAAAATGACTCCCTGCAATTATATGCCAGGTAAGCATTTGAAGCAAGTGCCAACAGGATAAGCCAGACGAGACTGTGTTCTGCTCAAAAAAGCACCCCATGTGCCATGAACATACACGCAGACTTAGTAATCCACCCTCGCATATCTGAGCGGTTAGAAAATTATTTTCAGCACTGACAGACCTATATGCCGTCCCCAGCTGGACATAATGGAAAGCATCGATCTTCATCAGAAGACTCTGTGATAATGGACAGACACTGTTAGAACTGGGAAGGTTTACACTGAAAACTTAAATAAGTTTCAAGTTCCACAGAAATGACATTTAGAAAAGTAAATTCAATATAAACATCCCACATCTATGTACTTCAAGCTGCACTTCCTCCCCAGCCACTTTCATACACACCGTGACTTTTTGCTGCCCTCTGGCAAAAGACCATCTTTCTGTGAGTGAAACGCCACTGCCTGGTACACTCCAAAGGTGGTGGGCAGGGATGCAGTTGAAAAGCGGAGGGAACAATGTTTCTGTGACTCAGTCTCTCCTCATCTCCCTTCCAAAAGCACGGGCATCCCAAAGGAGCCTTGTGTGCACAAGAGATCTATTTCCCCTCACATCTATCTTAAGCAAGTTTTGGTTGAGAGGGCACCTGTGCCCAGTCATTTTCTCCACACAAGAGCTCTCCCCTCCACCATTTCTCCCCCTCCCCGACAGACAGTTAACCACCAGCACCCAACATCAGAGCTTTCTTTGCACTTTTTGTATCATTCCCCTATCCATGAGCCAGCCCTTCTCCTCCATCCCTCACTCTGAAGCTGTAACCCAAGCTCTCAGGGCATGGAAAGCAGCCTCACACTAAACCCACGTCACGCTGCAACTCGAACAAAGACACTGCATCAAACTGTTTGTGCTGGTTCTACCACAGTGCAAGGAAATTGGTTCCACAAAGCATTCACAACCTTCAGACACCTTCTTTTATCACGATACCCTATCAGTGCAGCTTGTTATACCGTGGGCAGACCACCCACTAGTTTGTGAGGAGTGCAGGCAAATATGCTGAAAGATTTACTTAGACAGGCACTACCCAGTTTTTTATGTGTTTTGCAAACTCTGATCCTGAGAAAAGGGACTTCTCGCCTTCTGCGCACTCCAAGGGAATTTTGCTTGGCTGGGCCAGTCACCTCTGCGCTCCTCTGATCTATCAGCCAGAGATTTAAACAGAGGAAAAAACTTCAGTTTGTCACAGATGTGCTGCTTGCTTTGTGAAGTGGGAGGCATGAGCAGGCCGCTGCCACGCTGTCACAGCAGCTCGGACAGAAAGACACAGGAAAGCTCTACATAGTTTTTTCTACATTCTCCTTTGCTGGCACTGCTGGAGGACAGCATGCACGCTCCAGCCCGTGCTGCCTGCTTCCCTGAATTTGCTCAAAGCTGAACATAAGAAAAGCTACTGCAGTGAAGCAAGTTTCTCTGCTGTCTCCCACCTGCCTGGGCGGCTGCAGCAGCCAACATACATCACTGGGCACCAGGCTTCCAGGGAATCCATCCAAGTACTGAAAAGGGTTAAAGCTAATGCTTGCACTTTGCTGGCCTGTGCTTCTAAGAAGCATGCATCTCAAGTAGCTTGGATCTTTTTCCAAACAGTCCTATTATTCGGCATCGTTGGGGGTGGGGAAGGCTTCCTAAAGTATTCTCCTGACAAGTCATTTCTATTATTAGAGTAAGACATAATGCCTCTGCTCCTGGCAAGTAATTGTAGATGCAGGATTGTGGCTTGTTGTTTAAATTTCCTGAAAGACAGAAATGATCACATAAACAAGCCGAGAGTCTTCTATTAATTAGCTTGTGGCATTAACTGACTTCTAAATTGGTAAGGCTGTTTACCAGAGGTCTTTGCTAGAATGCCCCATTCTGCTAGAGGCTAGGCAAACACAAAAGACAGTTTTCCCTTGGAAGTTTTATAGGAAGAACTCACATAATGCAAAGCACCGCCGCCGTATTTCACTGACAGTTTGGTGGGCGATGCAATTATAGGCAATGATAAAGTATTTCTGCGAAAAATATAATGCAATGGAAGACAAAGCCCAGCAGACTGAACTCTGTACAGCTTACCTTTTGCACATCATAGTGAAGTCCGCGTATGGCAAACCCTGGAATGTAGTCATACTTCCCAAGGCCTTCTGGATACTGGGAAGACAGACAGCGACATCGTTAGTGGCACAAGCAGTGGGTTATCAACAAAATCATTTCACGTGTTGAGCTGGCTTAGTGCTGCTAGTCTGCCTCAGCCCAGGCGTAAACTGACCAGGGAAGAGGTACACTTCATTTTGCCCCTTCAAGGAAAGGAGTGGATGAATGGAGAAAGATATAAAGGATCAGGATCACCAAAACTAGTTTTTCTCTAGTTTTTACTAGTGGAACCGTAACAGATTCACTCAGACAATGAGGACACTTCTAGTAAGCTCCATTCAACGCATGTGCTTGGGAAAGCAATGGCACTGCAGAGCCCCTCTAAAAGGAAAGACATGCCGAGAGGAAAAGGCACAGACTAGTTACCTATTGCAAACAGGGCGCCCGTTACTGGAGGTGCTTTACAGCGATATCCACACCGAACTGCACGTCGTGTCACGTATGGCTCACGGATGATGTTTATCCACCGTGTGCACCTCAAACCAGCAATTCTGTAGGCATTAGTCCACAGCTAGGTAAAACGGACCAAAACCTTCTAGAGTGAGGCCCCTGCTCCATATTTATAACACCACAGAAACGCAGAGCATCATAAATTGTCTCAAAGGAAATTAATTCCACATACAGACAAAATTTTCTGCAATCAAAGATTGTGAAACATGAAATTTGTCTCAATAAAGCAAGTAATTGACACGTGCACAATGCGGTATTTTGCAAGCCGGCCTGGGATGTTGCAAAGACAGCAGTAAGCTTAACTGAGTGGAAACTTTTAGCACATCATTACCTTGAATTGCTCTATTAGGATGTCTCTGGCGGTGTTGAAAATCATAGAGTGTAGTAAATTAGAATACTGTGCTAATGTGTAATCGTAGTCAAAGCCATAGATCTCAACATCTCCCAGGCTGATCTCGTTGTTAGCGTAGATCGCGGCTGGGTTGAGGAGGTTGCAGACTCCTGGTGGAAGGAGATCTAAGAGAAGGGAAGGGGAGAGGTTAGAGAAACTGAGAGGATCACTGATGTTTCAACTTTTGTGTTCTGGACCTGAGAGCAGCTGGAAATACCACACAGCAGCAGCGAAGGAGCCCAGTGCTGCTGTCGAAGGCTGCTGCCGTTAACCCACTCCCTGTGAAAAAACACCCTGTGAAACCCCTGCCTGCGCCTGCAGCTGCCGCTAACCACTTTCACAGCCAGACCGACCTTTAGTGTCAGGAAACAGCAAAACAATGTCCTCAGCTCTCTGGCCTACAAGAAGCAAGGCAGACCGGAGATTCTGAAGTGCCAAGTTTCTAGCTCGCAGCAGCAGCGTTTTCAGCAGGCAAAGGTAGCTGTGATACATCGCCAGCAAAACACGAGCCCCTCTCTGAAAACTTCAGCAAGACAAGCAGGCTAACTCTCCTCTTTGAGAAATCTAGATTACTTCAGACTAGAATTGTTGAGGTTTGCCTTTGGGCATTTCTTGTTTCTCACAGAAACAGCCAGACTTCACACAGCAAATCTGCAGGTACCATTAGGGCTTTTTTTTTAAATTACGAATGGGCAGGATTCAACAAGGTTTTGTACAAACACCAAGAGAATGTAACAAAAACCCCAACGGGTGAAGCTCTGCTCTTGGAGCACGTAATGCAGATAGCGAGGAGTTATCTGCTTTACTCTGATAAACAGCTGGGGGACAGACCTTGAGCATGGTTTGTCACTTCAAAACAGCGTTACTGTTCAGGGTGCTTGTGAATAACACGCTGCTCCCCAGACCACGGGGAAAATGGGGGTTAAGTGACCTAGCAGCTGCCCTACCTGTATAACCTTTTTCAGAGCTAGTGGAGCGCTTTAGCTGCACTACAATAGGAGACAGGAACAGAGCCTCCCCAGGCTTCCCCCTCCAGGAGAGCTGCCCATTGCAAGACCAGAAAGGAGCAATAAAAATAGTTCCCTGTAGTGGGTTGCCTAGTCACATCCACACTGGGGGACAGAGAGGGGAAGGAGACATTTCCTCTCCCCTCAAAGATGGGTCATTTTCTCTTTGACTGATAGGAAAAGCGCAGACACATTCCAAATCCTACACAGCATCGGCCGGTAGGATTTAGTTTTTTCCCTTCCTACCTTAATTTTTGGCTTTTAGCAAGAAGCCCTGTGCCGGTTCTTTAGTGCTTCCTTGCTATAAAACCAAGTTTCATCTGAATCTAGAACAAAAAAAAAAATATTAGAAAATAGGTACCAGCCATTCCCAATAAAGATTTTGTCTGAAGTGATTACAGAAATGTGGTAGAAGTCCAAAGCACGTTTGTGAGCACTAATCCAAAGAGGTGACCAAAGAAATACAGGATTCAGATAGATCATAATATGTATTTCTCAGGGGAGAGACGCATCCCAAAACACACCAACCGTCTCTCCTAGCCCACTTTCCTTCAGAGGCAGTTCACCAGAGGAACTAGAGAGGCATTACTAGAAAAGAAAGCACTATCTTACAGCAGGAGGGCTGGCTTACTGCCTACGCAGCACAAGCAAGAGCCCTCTTCCACTGCCTGACGGTGGCAAAGTTCCTGGAAGAGGCTGAAGAGAGTGGACGCAACCAGAGTACTTTCCACTGGGATGTTAAGAGATGGGAAATGTAAATAGGATTCAGATGATCACAGTTTTCATCCTCATCATAACTGCTCTCTGCACCATAAACAAACAGAGCTCCGATTCCTGACCTCGCCTCCTGATAACGTGTGGGAAGATCTTTTTCTAAGTATACAGTGGGATTTGCAGGGTGTTATGTTTCTCCCTCATAAAGAAAATGACACAACCCTAATCACATCACAGTGCAAATATGCAGTGCTTTCCCCTCCTAATGAAAGTACTTTTTTTTAGGACAAATGCACCCCACTTGCTGCTACCGTAACCCTGCGGAGAGGTCAAGCTCTTCCAACATTTGCTAACAGATTTACAACATGACATTACGACAGCCTGAGAGTAATGCAGAGCCCCATTGTCTGAACCCCATCTCTCCTTTCAGAGATGTGAGACCCGCCTGAACTCAACAACGTATGCCAGCCATAACTTTTGCAAAAATACCATCAGGAAAAGCTGAGGGAGCGGTGTGGCTTTGTACCAAGGAAAGGGTAGCCTGAGGTTTGCCGAGAGCACGAAGCGAACCTTATCTGTGATCAGAAGCCTCAGCAGTAACAGTGCCACCCAGTATGATTTATGGAGTATATTTAGACCCACTGGATGAAGTCATACTCCTCCCTGCCAGCCTCAAACATACAGAGCCTCTCTGTTGTTCTCTGACAGCCTCCTGCCCAGCTCATTTTACCCTCCTCAGACATTCTGTCACTAAACTTACACAGCATGTTCTCTCTTAACACATAAGGGCCGAAAAAACATGCGTACGCTAGCCAAAACGCTTTGCCACCATTGCCCCACACATAACGCGTTCAGTACCCACGCTTCCTGGAGCGCCATGCACCTCCTTGCCGTGTTTCCTATCACGCGTCAGCGTCACCAAACCAACTGGCAGCAGCATGCTGACAGCTTGTTCTTTCCACACCAGCATCCTCCAGCTTAAATTTGCTGTAGTTTCCAAGTCACTGACCTCCTAGAGAGGAGGAAAAAGCTCTGGGTTTCAGTCCACAGGCTGCACGTTTGGCTTAGTGTCAGTGCCCACTTGCAGCCCCCGCCGCCGCGGAGCGGCTGGTGTCGGTCTCCTCTTTACGCCCGTGCAGTCCCTCTGCGGTCTGAACCACCGCAGGGAAGAGACAAGCTGGGAGCACAGGCAAAACTGGCTTCAATATGAGAGCCCAGACGTGCCTGGCTTACCGAGAAGCTGGGGTTTCTGTTTGGCTTTGCTCTGCTTTGTTGTGTTTTTTTGGTTTGGTTTTTGGTCGGTTTGTTTCTGTTTTGTCTTTTTTTTTTAATATTATCACCTGGGTGGTTACAAATTGAGTGCTTAATCAAGTCTGGAGCTGCTCTGCTGACGTTCAGCACGTAATCTGCCAGGGATCTTTGCCTCATGACTGCAGGGCAATGGTTGAGGCACAACAGATGACACCCTCCAGGAGCCCATGGAGATGCCATTTTTCAAGAGCGCGACCTTTTGTTTTTCCTCTGCCAAGACATTGAAATGGACCGCTGGGCAGATATGATAAATTAGAGCAAGAAAAAAAGAAAGACCAAAGTGAAAACTAGCTTTGGTCATTTAAAAAGAATGATAATCCAAAGTACTCTTTCCATCTGGGTCCTACTGGAAAGGGAGTTAGTCAATGTCTACTCAGCACTTCACCCAGGAAGTATGATCTAAGGGAGAACCGGCACGCGTACATCTGAGGGCAGTGGGGAAAAAACAGCTCTTGCAATAGATACAAACCCCTGGAATCTGCATACTTGCACAATTTGCTCCTGTTCGCAACTCTGACAGTTCCAGGGGAAGTGTTTGCATATCCACGGTACACGATGAAACTCAGCAACAAAGACAGACCACAAGAAAGCGTGTTTGATCGCCTGCATTTTTTACACCTGAGTGTAAAAGCTAGGTAAACACACAACATCTTAATTTTACTACTTACAGTCCTGACAGCTGCTTAAATCGAACTATCTTCACGACAACACAAGTCCCTCCTCCCAGGCAATAGCCCACATTGTTAGAAAGCCCTAACGCTCAATCCCCAACGTGACAGCAGAGATGGAAACAAAAGCAGGTAATTAACTGCCAGCAGCAACGGTTAGAGACGCCAAGACACCATATGGCCCCTTCTGATGTGAAAAATGCTCTGGTCAGGAGGTGCCAAGCACATCCCGTGCTTTTCGGAGCTCCCGGGGGTACCAGTGGCATCACGCAGGAAACGCTCTTTTTCTCCCGGCCTCAGAGCCGGCACGTTAGCGAAGAGTGATACATAAAAAGGGAAAACACTCATCTCACACCCTTTGTACTCCCAGCGTCCAACACAGCAGACGGCTGCGCCCATTCCTTTGTCAGGCTAGCGTGGAAAAGACAGATACTGAAAAGCAGATGGCCACCATCCTCCACGCTCTTCGTGAATCACGAAGTTCCCTTTGCTCACTCTGACTTGCTTGCTAAAGACAAACTGCCAGTTTTCCTGCTTTCCAAGTACCTCTTTATCCTTTTGAAGTGGTGTTTTGTACCATTTCCTGCAAAGCACTCCACCTACTGAAGCAGATGTCTCTACCAAGAGGGCAGGGAGAGGGAAATAGTACTTAAAGTACAAAATGACAGAGGAACTGTGTTAAAAGAGTACTGAAAATTACTTTGAAGCACAGTCTTGAATTTATGCTATTCTGCCTAAATATTTTTGGATCTCTCGCCAATGCAATGTACACGAACCAAAAGCACTATTAAAAAATACCATTTCATTCCAAACTGACATTTTTTATAGCCACAAAGGCACTAGACAAATGCTGCTAGGAGTGTTCTTTACAAGAAGAAAACATTTACATTTAGGAAAGCAGCACAGGGAAGTTAACGCAACTAGTCGCACTTCCAGTTCTGGCTGCTAGTTGTCATTCCCAGTCCCAGCCGATTCCGCAGATGCCACAACTCGTGGAACGTGCGCGCTCCCCAGGCGATTCGCAGGGCGGTTATTATCGTGGCACTGGACTCATTTCCCCGTCTGGCCCTTCAGTCTCTGTGCCTGCTTGAGATCAGCGACGCAAAGCAGAACTAGAATGTGCTGGATTGCAAAAACCACGTCTGCAACCCAGCCAAACCGACCCGTGGAGTGAGCACACAGGGGTGTCTTCTCACCCACTTCCAAATGCAACGGGCACGCCTTGCTGCCTGCAGCTTGCATTATGAACACACAGAGGTACCTCTCCATCCACCCAAACTCAAAAGGAGAGGACTACCCCTGCGCTAAACCCTCGGCGTTACCAGTGACTAACCAAGTTCCTGCTATCTGCAAACGTGTCTCTGTTCTCGGTGGTGAGGCAGAGGCAAGAAGTTAAGGTTCCCTAGGAAAGCTGATTTCTTTTAGCCACGTTTACAAGTTTGAAAGATCTAGCAAAAAGCAGACCCACTTCTCGACACCAAATCCTCACTTGCTTGCCAGTTCCATTGCGTTTCAGGATCGGATGTTTCCTAGAGCGCATCACTTTGGACATTGCTTACTGAGAGAGCATTATCAGCCTTCCCGGACACAGCAAGTCTTGCTCAACACCACCCTCTGACAAATGCAATTAGACTTTTCCTTTTGGCAGAGAAAAAAAAAAAAAAAAAAAGGCAAACAAAGTGGAAGTAGTATTCTCAAATACTTACAGGTAATGCAATCTGGTCTGAAGACTCAAAGTTGCAGAAGAGAGGGGGAATAGAGAATGGCTTCTCTTGAGCCAGCTCTAAGGGGAGATTTTTCCTCAGTAGCACCTTGTGTGTCGCTGTGTTGTGCTGTCATCTGCATCACCACACTCAAGCCTGGCAGAACACAGGTGTGTGTTTCTGCAAAGCTCAAAACCTCCAGTGCCTGGGCTCTGGCTACCGAACGGGTACCACCGAGTCTTACCACACAGAAGCTCTCGTCCTTTACATCCTGCCCTGGCCAACTCAGTCAGCATTTATCACCGGCATCCCCTCTGTGCAAAAATGCAGCACTGCTTTATAAATCAAGTCCTAAGCAAGAGCTGGTTTGAAAACACACAATTCTCCTAGCAGAAACCTCTCTCCAAAACGAATAGCAGTAAATGACAATACAGGACAAAGGCGGAGTTTCAGGGAAGGAGGGAGAAGGTGGCACCACAGGACTCTTCTCAACCTCAGCGCTGATATGTATGGAGAGATGACAATGTTTTCAAATACATAACCCAAGCACAGACATCAGCTTTTACATCGAGGTTAGAAATCAAGAACAAAGTAACAGGCTGATGCCACATTTTGCACTCGGTTTAGTCGTCAAAGCAACAATTTAAACCAACTTGGACTGACCCTGTTTATGCCTCTTCTTGACAAGACTTGAATAACAGCACAGTCTTGAAATTTTGGTTTGCGGAGCTATTCTTTAAACAAACAAGGGCCTTCTGATTTAACATGTTTAACAGTTACCTGAAGGTTTGTAAAGAGTCTGCTCTGTGGCACACAGGCTACTTCACCTAACCTCATTGCCTTTAGCCCTGCTGATCAGTTCTCCATCTCCAGTAACAACTGTATCTCTGTATGAAGTGTATCTGTGAATACAAACATCACAATCTATCACGCAGCCAAGTGAGCATTTTCCCAAGGGACCAGGGCACAGCCTATTAACATTTCTGCATTTATGGTTCAAATACCACTAGGGAAAAGAAAAAAATGTCTTTGAAGATATTAAGGTCCAAACCCAAGTCTTGCAAGTTGGAATTTCTTTCAAGTGGTGGGGCTAAAACCACAACTCAGTCTTAGAGCAGGGACTTACCATGAAGCTACTGTCCTCTGTCAGCGCCCTGTACTGCCTTCAGCAGCTCAGGCAAAGGAGCTCACATCCTGCAAAAGTTGGAATGCAGCAGGCTGAGCACACAAGGGATCAGTGGCCAATTCCTACACATCTGCGCATCATGCGGGACTTTAGATTTTATGTCAGATCCTGTGTACTGGAAGGTGAGGAGAGAAGGAATGACAGGACTTGCCAGTCTCGGAAGGTGAAACTTTTTTTCCAGATGCCTATGGCTGGCTACCTTCCTTCTGCAAGCCCTTATTAGCTCCAAGAGCTGTTTAACAGCAGGCACAAAGTCATACTTCCTAGCTCTCTAAGGTGTTTACCTTCAGCATTCCAAGAATCAAGAAATCAAGAGGAAAAAGTTCCCTGCCCTTATGCCATGAAAGCTATTCTTTCACATTTTTAGGAGAGTTTAATACAGCGGAGATCTGCTGCTGCCAAAACCACCACAATCCGGTTTAACGCATGGGCAGATCTGGCAAGTAGCGTAAGTTTTCTCCTCGCTTAGCAAGATGTCAACGTACCTGATGGAGCCAGGTAACCTCTTGGGCAGAGGAGCAAAGAACACACACGCATGCAAAAACACGAGTAAAAGGTGTTTCGCATCTGTAACGCAACCTGAGCTCAGGATCAGGAGACATCCTAATCAGTCTTCTCCACCTCACCCTTGTGCCAATGGCGAGTTACAAGTTGGACGCTGGACTCCTCACCGCATCCGTCTACCCGGCTATGTGTCCAACCGCCTTTCTGCAGGCCAACCAATGGCAAATTAGAGAAAAATCATAGAAGCATAGAATGGTTTGGGTTGGAAGGGACCTTAAAGATCATCTAGTTCCAACCATTCCAAAATGCAACAAGCCCTTCACGGAGACCATTTGCCATGACGATACCCACGATGGGGGGCCAGTGGTGAAGAACCCCACACACTCTGCATGACCTGACACGCTGAGACCAGCCGAGGGGTGCTGGCAGAGGGAAGCCCAGAGTGGGGAAAGAAAGATCAGGGTCGTATTTCGACAGAAAAACAAAGGTCGCGGAGGGCCCCGGGCGACGGAGGCGTGCAGAGGGCATTGCCAGGGAGAAGGCGTCCAACGCCGGCAGCATCCCCCGTTCCGCAGCGCGGGGAAAGGCACCAAGAGGGAGAAAAAAAACAGGAGGAAGGAAAAAAAAAAGCAACAACAGCCCGAGGCCGGCGGGACGTGGCAGTCGCAGCGCCCGGGGGCGGCCCTTACCGTAGACCAGCTTTTTCATCTCATGGTACCTGGCCCACAAGTAGGTCTTGGCGTCGGCTCCCTCGG